AATATATTACATAACTACCCAGGAATCTATTATTCATATACATACATGAATACTAAATACAAAGAAATAGTCTTAACTATTCTAAATCTTGCAACAATATAAGACTATACTGGGTGCTTATTACCTGCAATTTATTTAAAACATTGAGAGGGGTAAGCGATGACGCTTAGTGAGTTCAATAATAGATACAATATAACGTTATGCCATATATATACATCAATATGGCAGAAGCAAAGAGGAACAACAAAGACATATGTGAAATCATGTGACAAGCTTTCCATTTCAATCAATGACTTGATTCAAAGATATAAAGTCAAAGAAACTTAACAATTTCAATACTTGATAAACATCAATAACGCTTCGGCCCAAATTGCACAGAAGACATACAATTTCTGATTAACATTTTGGTAGATTTCAGGCTTATAGCCCTGTCTAACCATCAACCAATGCCATAGAATAGAAGTCATTCTCTTACGAAACATGCTCTAGATGACCAGAGGCTACATACCAGTACCACGGTGAATCTAAGTCCTTTCACTGATCACATTGTCAAATGTACAACTTTGCTACCATAATAGCGTAAATAATAACACGAGATGATAACCCGGCATAATAACATTGAAAAGCACATAGCATATATAACACATAACATACAAGTGTTCCTATATATTGAACTCACCGTGAAATAACCGAAGGAATAAATGATAATTTGGGCAGTACTTCGACTCTAAAAAATGACTTTCTGTGACGAAACCGGGGATTTTAGTTAAAATCCGGACTTTACGCGGGCAGAGTTTCGACTGGAAAGATGATTTTCTCGGGAACTTCGGGGCGTCGGGATTTACTTCGGGTTTTAGGGATGATACCGGGACTTTAGGGGGGTTAAAAGTAGATTGGAAGAGAGTAAAAAGTGAGAGAGAGTGAGAAATTGTAACCTAAAACCGGAGGGCTTCGATTCCTATTTATATGCTGAATTTCGAGATTCACGACGTGAACCATGCTTGTTCACGTCGTGAGGTTTGATCCCGGTCATCCCCTAGGCTTGCCGTGTGTCTTCTAGGCTCGAAACGCGTCGTTCACTAAGTTCACGTCGTGAACACTGTGTTCACGTCGTGAATGCAGTCAAATTCTCGAAGTTTGTGCTCTGAACTTCAAAAATTCCTATATTTTGCATACGAGCTCCGTTATTGACGTTGTTTATATCCACGCGTAGGTGAGATTATGCTCTACATCTTTCATTTAGACTCCGTCGGTTAATTTTGACTTTATTTTTAATATTATATTTTTAACGGGCCGAAACAGGAAAAGTCCGTTAAAATTTCATAACTTCTTCATCTGACGTCCGTTTTCGTCTGTCTTTTTACCGTTGTACTACTATTAACGAGACATTCGATTCTCGTTTAGGTTGTGTCGGCTAAAAATCACTCGATCTTTATTTCGAGTTTTTAGCTACCGAAACTTAGAAAAATCATAACTTCCTCATACGAAGTCAGATTTAGACGTTCTTTTTATGAAAGTTCTCGGTTTAACGAATACTACGAATTTCATTTAGATTACTAAGGCTAAAAAGTAGTTTATCGAAAACTCACTTTTTACGTCATACGGCTTCGTGCCGGTTCTGTCGCGAAACTTCAAATGGTCATAATTTCTTCGTTATAACTCGGATTTCGATGAGGTTTTTGCCTAAATGTTTCTAACGAGATTCTTTACAACTTTCATTAATATAATTTTACTTATTTTCAAATTTTATATTTTCGTTAAATTTCAATATTTGACTTTTGATTGGAATATCATAAGACTTCCAAAACATTCTGAATGATTCTAAACATAGTTTTACTTCATTTCTAGTAAAAATTATCCGTTAGAACTCAATATTCATAATTATATAATATTTCATAATATTATTCACTTTTAAAATTGACAAAACACAATTTCAAAACGTGTATGTTACATTTATAGAATGTAAATCTTAAAAATACACAAACAAGAGTAGGGGTGGTGAGTAGTGTGAATGGTGTTTAGCATAAACATATTTTCATATTCAATTTATAGTATGATATATTATATCCATAAAATCTCCAATGTCACTCCGGTATTTGTTACACGAATTAGTACGTCGTTCAATAGATACCTTATTAGAGTAGCTAGTGTAGTCTACAGGTGTTAGGCTTGTTTGACACCTCGAATGAATCATTATTTGATGCTTATATAAGCAATCAACATCTAGAATGTCAAAAAGTTACACGACTGTCTACAAGATCTTAATTGTTATAAATTCAATTGTGATGGAAATGGCTTTTATGCATCTCATCCTTCTGTGCGCTACTAAAAAAATAAATATATAAATACTAAGTTGTTAGACTTACACATGTTCATTTAGAAAAATGTCTCAATACGTAGATCGGGAGTAACCCATAGTTCGATCTTAAGACAAGCCATCCGATTATATTTTGGATATTTTGTATTATTTACATTTTATGTTGCATTCTAGAATGTTTAATTTACTATATTTCGACTTCCATTGTATGCTTTGTATGAGAGAGAGAGAGAGAGAGAGAGAGAGAGAGAGAGAGAGAGAGAGATTATATGTATGCATCCCTCGACATATATGTATATGCATATAGCTTTTTGGAGTGAACGGAATTCTAGTAAAACACTAACAAATAGATAGGAAAAAAAAATACAGGAAAACATGAGGATTACAATACCAATCAACCCATCTAAATTTAAAAAACTCTTGCAAGAATGGTTCTTATGGTTTGAGTCCAAAAAAGGTTGGACTTGCACAATGGTCTAAAATAGGATACCTTTTGCTTTTGTAGTTTTGTTATATGCCAAACTTGATTTTCTATGAATTTGATCTATATTATGTCCTATAAATAATTCTTTGGGAAATTGTCAGAAAAGTCCCAATATTTTCAGGAAAGTTACACTTTAGTCCCAAGATTTTTTTTGAACATAAAAGTCTCGATTATTTCATTTTGGCTCAAGTTTACAAAAAAATCATTTTTTTTCTTTTAACACGAAATGACATATTATCATGTTTTTACAAAATATCGGGACTTTTATGTTCAAAAAAAAATCTTGGGACTAAAGTGTAACTTTTCTGAAAATATTGAGACTTTTCTGACAATTTCTCATAATTCTTTAGTTGATAGCAATAACTTACTTACAAAAATAAAACTAGAAATATCACTTAACTTAGAAAGTAGACTTATTGTAAAAAATAATTTGGATAATAGTGTGATAAATCGGATAACTAATTGATCTTTTACATAATTAAACCCAAAATTAAAGAAATGGGTTTACAGTTTTGAATTTATCATTTATAATTATTACGCATAATGTATGTTCAGCTTGTAATGATGACGAACAAGATTATAAATTAAAAAAACTGGTCATTGCATCATTTTTTATTTGAAAAAAAAAAAAAGTGTTAAACTTTTGGAAGGTAAAGGACCATTATTGTAAAATATAAAAAGATGGAGATGCGGGGTATCGATCCCCGTACCTCTCGCATGCTAAGCGAGCGCTCTACCATCTGAGCTACATCCCCTGTTTGTATGGTATCTTAAATCACGTATAAAATTTTACTGAAACGTTAAAAGGCATTGAATGAATCTTATATTTGTTTCAATTTGAATAGATCAATAATTTGACCCACTTAAAACAAATTCGCTTTCTTCTTTCAGTTTCCTTATTAGCATTTTTGGAAACAAATTTAAAAACATAAAATTTGGATTTGGAAATTGGATTATCATGCGTTAAATGAACAATCGTTTTTTTTTTGGGATAATGACTTAGGAGGGTAATAACGTTTCTTGTTTGTCCATTTTAGGTCTCTAACATATTTTTTGTGCGTATTACACCATTAAGGTTATTATAACCGTTTACAAATAGTACTTTTAATATGAAGAAATCGGTAAAAGAGATTATTTCTAAACGATTATAACCACCTTAATGGTGTAATACACACAAAAAATACGTTAGGGACCTAATATGGACAAACGGAAAACGTTATTACCTTCCTAAGTCATTATCCCCGTATTAAACTATAAACCCCTATAATAAATTTTTACTTTTTAAATAAGAAACTTGTAGGTCTTGGGGTTGGTAGTTTGGATGCTTTTGGATCGCATTCCGGTAAGAGCTAAACTGGTGGAAAGGGGGGTGATGATAGATTCCTTATTGTGTCCTGTGTGTCATAATTCTCAAGAACGTGTGAAACATTTGTTGCTGCAGTTTTCTGTTGCTGATCAGGTTTGGAGTCGGGTTGGGCATTGGCTTCATTTGGACCTTCGTGTGTTTTCATCTATCCGTGATGTGGTGGATTGGGTGGATTCTAGACCGACAGTTCATATGGAACGCCCGATTGTTGAGTCGGTGTTCATGATGATGTGGTTACAAAATCCAATCCAATCCAATCCAAACCTTTCTACTTTTTATTCTTTTTAATTTCAACAACTTTATATGAAATACACGTATAAAAATAAATACTAAAAATCTTAAAAATATATATTCAAAATAATAAATACTAAAAATCTTAGGAGGGTAATAACGTTTCCTGTTTGTCCATTTTAGGTCTCTACGTATTTTTTGTACGTATTACACCATTAAGGTTATTCTAACCGTTTACAAATAGTCCTTTTAACAGGAATAAACCGGTAAAAGGGATTATTTCTAAATGGTTATAACAACCTTAATGGTGTAATACACATAAAAAATACGTTAGTGACCTAATATGGACAAACGGGAAACGTTATTACCCTCATAAGTCATTATCCCTTTTTTTTTTCTCTCAGTTTTCTTATGTTGAATTTCTATGTAAAATTTAAAAACCTCGTCCACCCCCCTGTATAAGATTTGTGTTTGCTAGTGTATTACAACATTATTTTCAGAAAATAGGATAAACAATCATTAGAAAAATATCGAAAGAAGAGCAAAACGATTAAAATTTACTTGGTATTAATTTCCCTTTTGTAAACTACATTCCACTGAAATTACCTAACCATACTTTGCCCTGGTGCTTTCTCAATCTTATTATCCATCATCAACACTCTAACCTTCTCAATTTCATCCCATTTCCCTCTTTCTGCATACAAATTCGACAACAATACATAATTCCCAGAATTCCATGGCTCCAAAGTTATAAGTTCCTTAATTGCTACTTCTGCAACTTCCATCTCACCAAAATTACAACAAGAACTCAACAATGCACCCCATAAAACAGCATTTGGTTTCATTGGCATACTTTTCACCAATCCATAAGCTTCTTTCACAAACCCACCACGCCCAAGAAGATCAACCATGCACCCATAATGCTCAAGCTTTGGCTCAATCTTATGATTCAACGCCATTGAAGAAAACAAGTCTCTTCCTCTTTGAATCAACCCTGAATGTACACAACATGATAAAACCCCAATAAAAGTGGATACGTTAGGGTTAAATCCGTTCTTGATCATTTCATCAAAAAGAGATAACCCCTTTTCGCCATTCCCATTGAAACCCAAACCAGAGATGATGATGTTCCAAGAAACAACGGTTTTTGATGGGATATCATTGAAAACCATGAAAGCAGAATCAAGATTTCCACGTTTGCAGTAGAAATCGATAAGTGAATTGCATACAGAAACATGATTTTGGTAGAATCCATTTGATTTTGCATATGAATGGATCCATTGCCCGATGTTGTCTTCGCCTAAACGTGCACAAACTGGAAGCATTGTCACGATTGTTGCCTCATCAGGTTCGAATTCTTTATCGCGCATTTCATGGAAAAGTTTCATGGCTTCAAAATCCCGATTACTTTTTGATAGGGAAGATAACATTGTATTCCAAGAAACGATGTTTCTCTCTTTCATTTGTTTAAAGAGGTTATACCCCATATCTACGTTTCCTGTTTTACAATACCCATGAATCAATAAATTCCAAATGATTACATCTCTTTGGTGCATTTCATCGAACACCTTCTTGGCATCTTCCAATAATCCAAATTTTGTATACATTTCAACTATTCCGACTCTAATAGCACTGAAACAATGAAATCCAAGTGAAACAACCTGAGAATGTACCGTTTGCCCGAATTTAACGTCGGAAAGATTGGAACATGACTTAAGTATAGGAGCGAAGGTGAACTCATCAGGCCAAATTCGGTGTTTCTTCATGGTGCAGAATAAGTGAAGTGACGTTTGGAAGGGTGGTGAGAGTGAGTAACCTTTGATCATTGAATTGTAGAGGAGGATGTTGGGGTGGTGGGTTTGGAGAAAGATGAGATGGGCGTAGTCCATTTTGCGGAGGGAGCCACAGACGGAGATGAAGTGAGAGAGGATGTGGTTGGATTGGTGGAGGTGGTGGCGGAGGATGTGAGCATGGATTTGGGTAAGATGTATCCGGCTACGGCGGCCGTGGAGGTGGCTGAGGATTTTCCGTTCAACCTCCCTGATCGTGCCGCCTCTGCTCATTTTATGACAGTGCAGCTTCCATTATAATTGTATTATAGTTATTGATGAATCGCCGAGTGATGAAGCGATCGTTCTGTTTGTGGAAGTAGGCCTGGTTGTTTCTGATTGTGTTGCGATTGTTATTGTAGTTATTGGTTTTGTGGTCTTTCGTTTAGATGTCACAGTTTGATCTTTATGGAGGTTGCTTTTTATTGTCGGGCTATTTCTTTTTGGAGTTTCTAAACATAGAATTGGTTAAAAAAAAAAAAAAAAAGTAAATTACACGTGCATATGGTATGGAGATATGGTCCAACAATCATATCTTTTGTTTTTCATTTTTACTGTTCTTAAATATTCAGTTTGTTTAGTATTTGTCATTTTCATTTACGTAAAATGATAAATTTATACTTATTTTTGTATGGAGTTTTGACATAATTGATATCAAAATCTCGGAAATGTTCCGATTTAGCAACCAAAGTTCTAACCGTGCTAAATAACCGGTTTAGTAGCCTCCCCAACATAGCCACAAGCATGTAATCATCCTTCGGGAATGTACATTACCCGTTTGCGTTCGACCATAAAGATACATGCATGCCCAAAAAGAAGAAATTGAGAAACTTATGAAGGAGACGGTGGAAGCCCACATAATACAACCCAATACTAGCCCGTTCTAAGCCCAAACCCATTATTGTTGGTGAAAAAGAAAAACGGCAGCCGGAGGTTTTGCATCGATTATAAGGCCCTAAATAAGACAACTATGTTTGATAAATTACCTGTACCCATCATCGACGAACTCGTAGATGAACTGCATGCAACAATCATTTTCTCGAAGTTGAATCTCAAAACCGGTTGCCACCAGAATACGAATGAAGCTGGAAGACTTGGATTAAGAACCCTAAATTAAGGGGAGATGTAAAAGGGATGATTCTTTGTATGCATTCTGGGCTTATTTATGTATGCGAGCTTAGAGTGCCCAATTAGGCTACCAATATGTAAACCTTCTGTTGGATTTCTATAGAAAAAGATTGTTAATTTTTTAATACTACTCAGTGGTGTCAATCATCTCCACATACAAATTAGGTCATTTTTAAACTAGGAGGGACTGATCAACTGGATCACCATAACAATAAACAAGATATTGACTTATGTTTGGCATTTGATCATTAATAGCTCTTTTTTTTTTTTTTTTTTTTTTTTGCTAAAGATGTATCTTGAACTATAATGAAAGCAACACATATTTCCTCGTAGAGTCTATGCTGAAAGCTTGATAAAAATAACATTTCTTGTAGTTACAATATGATCCACGAGAAGCTTTGACCATAAGCCACTGTAATTCATATATAAAAAAGGAAATCTACTAAGAGTTAGGTAATTTTACATTTGTCCCAAACTCCCAATAATAATTAGTTTCTTATAATAACTCCTTACCTACTGGCTGCTTCTCCATATAGAATTAGTTTTTACATTAAAGAATCAAAAAGTCATAATCATAATCACTTTCTTACAAGCATTTAAAACAAATAAATTATCACAACTTGAAGTAATAATAATCACTTATATGGGGATGGGGTGATTTTTCCATAGAAACTTGCATCCACTAAATAATTAATGTAATGGCAATTATGCCCCTCTTTTTAATTTAGGGATATTCAAGAAAGTAAAAAAAACACAAGAAAGTCAAGAACTAATGTATTGACAATTATCCATCAGATGCGTCTTCAAACTAAGGAAAATTCGAACCAGTTTAAACATCTCCCGTTCTCCATGAATCTTTAACACCTCCTGATCGACTAGCGAGGCAAGCTACGGCAATATCGATTGAAACCCCCAACTTTGCTATAAAATATCTAATTGGGTAACATCTGAAAAAGCAAACTGTAGTTCCATTTAACTTGTTCAAGTTCTCATCTTTTCTGTTTTTACCTTTGATTTCACTGTGAAGGAGGAAATGAAAATGGAGATTAATTTACTTGAACTTTATTTGGGTAATGAGAAGATAAGAGATTATTGGAGGTCGAAGATGAAGAACTTAGAGTGATACCGTAGAAGGAAGCACACGTGGACAAGATTCAATTTCGAATTTGATGGCAAGATGAGTAGTAATGAGAGTGAAGTAGGATTCTTGGAGAAGATTACAGGAAGGAGGGTCGTGTCTTCATTTGGAAAAAAATCTTGGAATCTTTCTCTCCTCAATAATTAAGGGAGGGTATAACTGTCAAATGCATTAAATTTTCAGTGGAAAAATAAGAAGATGCTGTGGAAAAATCAGCTCGGATTGGCTTTTTTCACCCACTCAATTCCTATTATATATATTTAGTAGGTATGGAAAACATTTTATACTACTAGAGTATCATTTTAAGGATACCAAAGAGAGTTGACCGAGTGGTAATGGTATATTTTAAATATACTCGTAAGTTATCCAATTTGTAATTGCTCAGTTGCATTTTTATTTGGTGTTTCTTTCGATCATCAAAAGAATGTCCTCCATAAAAGAATTTGATCATCTCAAAATTAGGCTCAAAGAAATTGAATCCGCAACCAACAATTTCGGGGTCAGCAACTATATTGGTGTAGGAGGATTCGGGAAAGTTTACAGAGGAGAACTTGTCTTATCAGATAAGCTGACTATGGTTGCTGTAAAGCGCTTAGATACTGCTTTTGGGCAAGGACCCCCCGAGTTTTGGAAAGAGATCATGATGCTTTCTCAATACAAACATGAAAATCTTGTTTCTCTATTAGGATTTTGTGATGAGAATGGTGAGAATATCCTTGTGTATGAGTATCTATCCAACAAAAGTCTCGACTTGTATTTAAAAAGCAACGATCTTTCATGGATTCAACGCCTTCATATATGCATAGGAGCAGCTCGTGGACTACAATACCTTCATGATCCTGGAGACACCCAACAAAGGGTCTTACATCGTGATATCAAAAGCTCCAACATCCTACTTGATGAAAACTGGAAATCCAAGGTTTCGGATTTTGGCCTTTCCAAATTCGGCCCTGCTAACCAACAATTTACATTTTTGGTCTCTAATACAGTTGGGACGTTTGGGTATTGTGATCCACTGTACATGGAGATAGGGTACTTGACAAAAGAATCAGATGTTTACTCCTTCGGTGTGGTTTTATTTGAAGTTTTATGTGGAAGGTTTTGTGTAGAAAATTACGATGATTTTCGTCGCTTTTTGCCAACATTTGCACAAAAGTGTTACAAAGAAATGAAACTGGATACAATTATCTTTCATAGGGGACAAATCTCACCAAATTGTTTGTACACGTTTTCTACGGTTGCGTATAGATGTTTGCAGAGAGACACAAAAGAACGACCATTGATGGATGATATAGTAAAAGAACTTGAAGCTGCACTTGAATATCAAGTAAGTTTGATTCAGTTTTCCACCTTATTACCAACTACTAGAAAACATATATTAACATCCATCTAATTTTGATAGGTGGAATATGAATTTGAGAAGGAAGAGAAGTTGAAAAATGCCATGGCACAAGAATTTGACACTGAGGAATTTTGGAAGATGAAACTACCACAGGATAGTGAAGACATAATAAAGAGATTAAACCCTCTTGCTGTTTATAATACCAAAAAGGAACTATTCTCACTTCTTCACAAGGGAATTCTCTTCGATGATCGTGAACGGGTAACATCTTCTATATATATCCTATAGATTTAATTAATAATGCATATATGATGTATCTGATCAGTTATATTGTCTTCTTAAAATACTAGGGGACACATTGTTAATTACAATCTTTTACATAATATATAATATCAATCACACGTAGCTTAAAGGTTCTTTATGAACAGGTCTTTTCAGTTAACGAAGATGGAATAAAATGTGAACTGATATCAGCAAAAAGATTTTTAAACATGAATAAAAGATCCTATAAATGGCAATCAGGAAGAAAATTCAGGTTAGTTTTTTTTTATCCTTTTGTTCATGGATCGAGTTTCTTAAACAATTGTTACTGTTGTTTATGTTGGAATCTTAATTCCTTAATCCCTCCACGCGTGTCTTCCACTCCTAAAAGCTAACACAATTTCTGAAACAAAGTAGGGGACATCATCAAAGAGTGGTTGAGTCTCTTTACTTGTTTAATATTATAAGCTTACTCCAGCTTATATATATATATATATATATATATATATATATATATATATATATATATATATATAGCATATATCGAGTTATGAATATGCAGAGCAACACAAAACACATTGTAAACCAATTGGTTTTTGAGTGATATTTCCAATTATAAATCAAAGAGATATTTTGATATATTTATCTGTGTTTTTTACAATCTCTATACTAGAATTGGTATCAGAGATTTCGAAATCAGTCAAGGGGAGCTGTGAAAGCTTTGAATTACTTGGTGATCAAGAAGGACACCAGTAAAGATGTCAGACAAAGAAGGAGATGGTGGTGATGCTGGTCCGGCTCCGGTGAAACTCAAAGAGATAGGATCAACCACAGTGGCTTGCCCGATGTTGAATTCCACAAATTACACCGTATGGTCCCTGCGTATGAAAGTTGTACTTCGAATTCATAAAGCCTGGACCATAATCGATCCAGGAGAAGAGAAGAATGATGAAAAGAATTACCTTGCCATGGGATTGCTGTATCAAGCAATCCCTGAGAGCTTGATAATGCAGATAGGGGACGTCGATGAAGCGAAGGTCCTCTGGGAGTCGATTAGGGCTCGACATGTTGGAGCCGACAGAGTAAAAGAGGCTCGACTTCAAACTCTCACCGTCGATCTAGACCGACTGAAGATGCAGGAGACAGAGACGATAGACGCTTTCGCCGGAAAGCTCGCTGGAATCGCCTCGAAGTCAGCGTCACTGGGAGAACCCATCGGAGAAACGAAACTCGTGAAGAAACTCTTGACGGTGGTACCTCATCGGTTCATTCAAATCGTTGCCTCCCTCGAGCAAGTGCTTGATTTGAAGACAGTATCCTTCGATGACGTCGTAGGGCGTCTGAAAGCGTATGAAGAAAGAATCA